TTTCCACTTAGAGCAAAACGTTTGTGGAAAATGAAAATTTGAGGCAATATTAGGGAAATTTATGTTTGGATGTGGAAGCACTGACTAAACAAAATGGCGTCTGGTTGTTAGGAAAATTAAAAAAAAAGTTTAAAAAAAAAGTTAAAACCGACCTACCCTACCTAAGTTTTTACAAGAGGAAACCGGAAACCCACATATTTTTTTTTGGCCTTAAAATAAACCCTTGCCTAAACACAGGGGGGTGTAAGTGAATTTTGCAGCATTATCAAGGCATGCACTAAAAAATATTTCTTTTCTCCAACATCAAAAAAATTTTCCGAACAACATATTTGTCAATCTTATTTTGTGTTTAACTATAAAATAAAGTTGAAACAAGGTAATTTTGAGAGTAATGCCAAAAAGATTGCCTCTTTAATAATCTCTCATCATGGCTTTGATAAATATAATTAGCTTAGTTTAGTTCCAGTAACAGCACAAAGTTCATTCAAACGACTTTTGATATGGTCAGGAAACGGTCATATTAACAGCCCTATTAAAATATTTTGATTTTGTGGCATCAGCCGCGTAATTTTCATACGCTAGCTAGAATGCCAATCATATATACAACTAATCCTATTTGCTTTGTCAATATTTATTCGTTCACTTACCGGTTCTATAAACAAACAAACAAACCAACGCAAAATAGACTTTGTCACAAGCAGGAATTAACGTTCTTGACAGCTATATATTTGCCTGAATACTAAAACAATTGAGTCACACAAAATTTTGCTAAGCATCGCTTCAACGCTACAGAAAAATTGTTAAAAAAACGCATAAAATATGAGATTCAGTAAGAAATACACAGGTGGCTATGACTTGTGTTCTATCGGAGTTATTCATGCGTTAAAACTTTAAGGTACCCCAGATCTCTTACTTGATTGGCTCATAGCTCTTTTATTTTGCAAAATAATCAATATACCGTATAATAAAGAAATAAGTGAAAACAATCATGAACGAGTGATTTTATAGCACTGAGAATAGTTAGTGGAATTTTGAAAACAATGAAAAGGCAATGGAATAATGGGTCGAAGTTTATTTCATCAATTGTATATTAGCGTTTGCACTCATTCCCCAGAGACCAAAACTCAACAAAAGCCATGGCGGCCATGTTGGCGTTCCAGACAAAAGAGTCCAAGGCCAAAAAAAAATATGTGGGTTTCCGGTTTCCCGACCCAACCTAGCTTTTGGACGTCGAAATCCCGACCCTAAACTTTTTTATTGGATCATGCTTGTAGGTGTTTCCACTTAGAGGAAAAAGTTTGTGGAAAATTGAAATTTGAGGCAATATTAGGGAAATTTATCTTTGGATGTGGAAGCACTGACTAAACAAAATGGCGTCCGCTTATTCGGAAAAATAAAAAAGTTTAAAAAAAAAGTTAAAACCGACCTACCCTACCTAAGTTTTTATAAGAAGAAACCGGAAACCCACATATTTTTTTTGGCCCAATTAAAATTCTTTTGAACTGGAACACCAACATGGCGGCTGTGACTGTATTGTACAGGGTGTCCCCCTAAAAAAAAAACAACGCAAAACCATTGAAATAACGTATTGTTTAAATTTGAATGCCTTAGCACTAAGCTGAACGCAAAGATGTGTAAAATATTGACAAGGGTGCATATATTAAATATCGACTTATTAAGAAATTAAAATATCTTTGTAAAGCGCACGATTCTTGGGAATTTAAAACAGCTTCTTAAACGGTTTCTTTGTGAATAAAATTTACTTACGTCAACCTTTGATGCACGTGTGGGTTCAGCAAAGTACTGAGGCATTCAAATTCTAACAATACGTTATTTCAATAGTTTTCTTTTTGGGGGAACACCCTGTATTGTGCAAACGCTCTATAGCAAGATAGCTGTATCAGTTACATTTGTAAACCGCTTTTCATGGAGTGTACACATCCGAATTACTCACTGGAATTTTTTTCAAACTTATACTATAAGAAGATAGTAGGGAAATCCAATTTCCATACTAATTGCAATTTTCATACTATAGGGATATAGTATGGAATAGTATGGATATAGCTACAATTGCAAATTCCATGGCATGTGGATTTCATTCTTTTTTTTAGTGACTGCAGGAGGAAACCGATATATAATCAGTGAAAACCTGGGAGCACTCTTCTCACATGTGACCGAGAGGCAAAATGATCCATATCATGAATTCTTGTTTGTGGTGTTATGCACTCGTAGTGAAGATATATGTTTGTGATGTTGTTATGAGTATGTCCACAATGGGCAAGCTGAAATATTTGCTTGAATGCGGCGGTGGAAATCGAACTTTGGTTTGCGGGGGCCCGTTTGCTCGTCCAATGCTCTACCAACGGAGCTACGAGGTCAAGTCGTTACGAGTGATATTTCTAGTTCCTTCGATATCAGCTAGGTGTTTTACAATCTTGAACCTGGCCTTGGTATTATGCATTATAAACTGTGCCACCATGCATCACACACAATACTACTGAGGTTTATATATTTCTTCTATATATTCACAACAACAATTATTCAAATATTATTTTTCTATTATACATTTGATGGCACACACACACACACACACACAGATCAAAAGCCACAATATATTAAAATTTAATGTCGGCAGCATTTAACAACACCATTAATACGTTAACATATAGTCACATTAAAATGTTCCAATACTTATAGTTAAAACATTATTTTAAAATGTGTACAATTATATACTCATAATAATTAAGATTTGATTAAAATACAGTAGCACATAATATCTACCTGTACAAGAACTAGGTTTAAACATTTAGGAAAAACTAATACCATACCGATACACTATAGACAGCAGCTCTTGTATAGAAGGTCTAAATGTGTTTCGTTTACCTGAAATGAAAAAACAAATCGTTGTTAGACTCTGATGGGTGTAGTAGATAGCAGTTAGGAATGTTCGGTATGAGAAATTTCCGGTATCGGTATACCGAAAAAATTATACCGATATTATCGGTATACCGGTTTTCCTTTGATAATTATAAAGGAAAATTCTTTAATGGAAATTTGAAGGAAATTTTGAGTAATTCTAAAAGGGAAAACGATAATTTCGAAGCTGTTTCGAACATGTTTCGAACGACACGTACTCAGTGTAAAATCTCACTGAAGTGGAAATTCTAAATCATTGCAGTAGAAAGTTCTTTGAATTGCCATTCAGTAGTAAAATAAAGGTTATGGTTTCGCCATATAGTTGGTAAATTTAACACGGCATACTGAAAAATTCCGGTATATCGGAAATTTCGGTATATAGGTATGGTTGAATATCCGGTATCGATATACCGATATTGATTTAATACCGATATTTTCGGTATATCGGTATACCGAACAATAATAATAATAATAATAATAATAATAAAACTTTATTTAATGAGGGATTACATTGATTACTTAATATAGTATTCTTCCCAATGGCCCTCGATATCTAATAGTAATATATAAAAAGAAAATCCTATTGAGAGTAACATTGACAATGAGTAATATGCTTACAATTATCGATGCAGCGGAATTTATTAACGTGATCTACTTCATAATTCAATTGAATAAAGTAGGTTTTGAGCTTCTTTTTATAGGAATAAATTGAGTGATTTTCAATATCTTTTAATTCGGAAGGTAAAGAATTAAATAAACTTGCACCACTGAAGGAAATTTTGGATTTTGCTTGCGTGGTCTTAACTGATGGAACTTTTAAGTCTGTAATAGACGATCTAGTTGGAATTGGATGAGAGTCGCGAACAAAGACAAACAATTTACGAAGATCCGGCGGCCAAGATGTTTTTAAAGTATTCAATACCAATAATATTTTTCTCATTTTGATCAAATTAAAAATAGGTATCCAGTTGAGTTTACGGAAAAGCACAATTGAAGGCACTTCAGTTGACTGCTCAAGAATTAGTCTCGCTGCACGTTTCCGTAGTTTTAGTAGGCACGTAATTAGATCGTTATTAGCATTGCCCCAGACTGTGCTTAATATAATTGAATACGGGATTGAAAAGTGAGATAGCTACGTATACGTTTGAGCAGTTCTAAAATGTTGAAGGATTTTTGGAGATAGAAGTTTCGAGTGGAATTTTTAATACATTTATTAGATCTAACCAGGAGCAGTTGCGACCCCTGGCAGGAATCGAACATGCGACTCCGCTGCAGCACTCTAATCAACTGAGCTACAGAGAGAAAGTTGTCGAGCTCTAATCAACTGAGCTACAGAGAGAAAGTTGTCGAGCTCTAATCAACTGAGCTACAGAGAGACAGTTGTCGAGCTCTAATCAACTGAGCTACAGAGAGACAGTTGTCGAGCTCTAA